TAAGAATTTCACAACAGGATTTTGTAATTTTAGTTCTTGTTGCCTTTTATATTCCATTTTTCATTTACTAATATCGTGGCATCTTTAACATAAATGCATCAACAACAACCATGTGGGTCTTGCCTTATATGATACCAATACAATTACTTACATGCATAAGAACAGAATAGCATCCAGCTTGCTAAACCTGTTTAGAACTACCACTGACCACCAACATATCAGAAATCATACAAAATTGACGAATGAATTGAAAGAATTTCTGTAGCCAGAGCAACTAACAACCTTCCACCGTGGTGGGAAGACATGAGAAATTAAGCATTAGATGTAGAGGAGCAGCTGCTATGGCTTTTTTACATATTTGGTTTTGTTTTGCATTTAAATGGAAGAGGAATTTTTGCTATTTTCTTTTGTAGAAAACAAATCTTGTAGAAAAATTATAGAGCCGTATTCCTTATTCAGTTGTACTATTCCAATTAAAAACTTAGTACTTACATTATCTTATGCATCACACACTTTTCAGAACCTGATTCCCCTACCACATGTAGCATGAGAAACACCATATGTATGTTAACTGGATTAGCTGCAATCCTAGCATGCGATTGAACCAAATCGAAGCTTCTCCCATCAGTTTTTATCCAAGCAATTAATTGTTATTTAATGGAATACATGTAAATGTCCATTAAACAGTATCAAGATGTTAGTTTCTGCTTGGTTGATAATTGAATATGCTGATCAACAGAATTTGCTGATTTAAATTGGGATGAATTCCGTAAGCATAAATTGGGAGCTGCTCAGAACTGCTCTGCTACTACAAGAGGCAATCACAAGCTCACTGATGTTGTCCTTCCAGAAACGGTAAATGCAGTTTTCTGCATTATTTATTGGTTCATTGTATATCAGGATTGCGTATTTTGTACAATTTCCAAATTTTCTATCCTTTCATTTTGATTGCCATCCATGAAAACTATAAACCGATTATTACAAAGATTCTGATTATAATTTAGTATATTGTAGCAATTTTCCAGATTGGACTGAGCTCCCTTTTGCGATGCCATGCATACTTCTTTATAGTTCGTTTATTGAACAACAAGATACATAAGCCTTTCTTGGATCAGATTGATTTGTCTTAGGTTTCGATGTGCAACTTTTATGAACATCTGGATTTAGAATGAGTCAAATGGATAATATCAATGACCATTTTTTTCTTTTGTGGTAAAATTTGATAGGAAGCTTCTATGACAATCTTTGAGGCTGATAATTAGTCAAAATAGTTGTTTCACTTGTGAATAATTTTCAATTTTTGTTCTGGTGTACTGCAGAAAGACTGGAGGGAAACTGGTATAGTTAGCCCAGTCAAAAACCAAGGTCATTGTGGATCTTGCTGGACATTCAGCTAACATTGAGGGCTGTTCATGTCATGGAGATTAGGACTTATCTCAATTAATAATGCTTGTAAGCAAACATGAGAATCCCATTAATACCCTTNTGCTGGACATTCAGGTAACATTGAGAGTTGTTCATGTCATGGAGATTAGGACTTATCTTAATTAATAATGCTTGTAAGCAAACATGAGAATCCCATTAATACCTCCTGAGTTATGTGATCCTTACAGCACTACTGGAGCCCTAGAGGCAGCTTATGCTCAGGCATTCAAAAAAGGTATTTCTCTGTCCGAGCAACAACTTGTGGACTGTGCTAGAGCATTTAACAACTTTGGTTGCAATGGTGGCTTGCCATCTCAAGCTTTTGAGTACATTAAGTATAATGGTGGACTTGACACTGAGGATGCATATCCATATACTGGAAAGAATGGGGTGTGCAAATACACATCTGAAAGCGTTGGTGTCCAGGTCCTCGACTCTGTTAATATCACCCTGGTAAGATCGGCAATTTTCTTGAGAATCTCAACCAGCACACTTGTATGAGTAGCAAGATTTCTGTGGATACATCAATTGTTTAGTAACTTCGTTGTGTCTAAATGACTTATGTAACGACCCGGGTCCCACTTAACGGACTGTTTCAGCCATTAGATCGACGACGTACTGTCCCCACTATACCAACATGGGTCTTTTCAACATGTTTTATCCTCACTCGCACGCT